CGGCGCGGTGTTGGAGGCGGAGGCGGAGCCGGTCGCCCCCCACTCCCACGCGGGCTCCTCGGGCTCCAAGGCGGGCGCTGCCGACAAGATGTTCTCGCTGAAGAAGTGGAACGCGGTGGCCATGTGGAGCTGGGACGTGGAGTGCGACACGTGCGCCATCTGCCGGGTGCAGGTCATGGGTAAGCGTCGGCCGGGCCCGGCCTGCTCGCTGCCCCTTCCCAAAGGGGAGGAGACCCCCGTATCCTGGGGGGAAGGGCTGTATCTCCTCGCTGCCACCCCCGCGCAGGCAGAGCCTCACGTATGACAGGCCTGTTTTTCCTCACTGGCTGGCGCCACACCAGCAGAGCCCCACAACTTGGAGGGGGGGGGGGGGGCTTGTATCTCCTCACTGTCCCCTCTGGAGGGCGTGTATGTCCCCTTGATATTCTGGAGTAGGAGGGGGGCTGTCCCTTCCCCCCCCCCATAGGAAGAAACCCACATCCAGGGGCGAGGGGCTGTATAGTCTCACTGCCCCTTACCACAGGGAGAGCCCCAGGTAGTGGGGGCCTGTATAGCCTCACTGATCCTTCCTCACATGGGGAAAGCCCCACATCTTGGGGCTATCTGAATCTCCTCATTCCCCATCTTCTCCCCCTCCCCCAGGGCAGAGCTCCATATCCTGGAGGGGCTGTCACTTTTCACTACTCTCCTCCCCCCCACCTCAGGCAGAGTCTCACATCGTGGCAGGGAGAGAAGCTGTATCATGTCACTGATCGTCTCTCCCTGGTACAGATGTGAACAATTAACCAGTTATTTGGTAAGCATCCCCTTTACTGGGTGATGCACTGGTACCCAAGAGCAGCCCCCCATTCGTAGCCTATCCTGGGTAGAAGGCAGCTCTAGCCCTACAGGGTCCTGGAGTAGAAGCTAGCCACCCAGTGTGGGGTGGGGGCAGGGCGCAGAAGCTGAGGTCAGTCCTCGCCCCCCCCCCCCCCCATATGGCTACTTGTTTCTGCTCCCATTCCCCTCAGCCAAGAGCCTCACACACAGGGGGTGACAGCCCACTTAATGGCTTAACCAGTTGAACCTAAAGTTTAACTGGTTAACTAATTAACCAGGATTTAACATATCGACTCCTTGGGGAGAACCCTGCAGAGCTGAGGCCCTCACTGCATTCCTCCCCAGGAAGACCAGGATTTCTGTTAGAGCTTGAATAGACTGGTTTCCTTCTTCCCGGCGCTGACATGTTTGCTGGGACAATACCAAAGCCCACAGATGGGGTCACTGAGCAGTTGTGTACCTGCCCTTAATTTTTACAGGGACTCCCATTTATATAGTGCTTAATGTCCTACCTCCGAGTTTGTCCTATGCCTAGTAGAAATTGCATAGAGGATCCTGTGCTTGTACCAATGGCTGATGTAGATCTCTGTGTGTTTGTACCAGAAATAAATCATTAGATGCCTCACCTAAGCAATCAGTTTTAACCTGTAATATTCATACTGTTTATTTCCTGAAATAAATTGCGGTTGCTTGACATGGCCCAGCATCTATCATATAGTGAGGAAACAGAATAAACAGCCTCTCAGTAGTAGGGATGTTAACAGATGAGCCTGAGCTCATCAGTTAATGCGCATAGTTACACGTAGACCCTCCTCCCCTGCATTGCTGCCTCTGATACAGGGAGCTGGTGTGAGCTGGTGCATGTGGGGAATGGGCTTAAAATTTGGCTCCCTGTGAGCACCAGCTCCTGCCTGCACTCCCCTCCCTGCTTCTGCCTGTGATAAAAGCAGCGAGGTGGGAGGGATGTGGTGCTGTGGGAGCTGGTACGTGTGGGGAACCAGCTTTTATGCCAGCTCCCTGTGTATATAGGATCCTGCCTCCCTCTTCCCCTGCTCCCCAATAGAAGCAGTGAGGAGGGAGGCAGATAGCTCCCCAGGAGCTAGTACTCTTGGGGAGCCTGCCTAAAAGTTATCTCTCCATGAGTACTGGCTCCTGCCTCCACCCCCACTTCTCACCCACTGCTGCCTCTAATATAGAATATTATAGTTGTCTGGAATGTTGTGTTCATCCTTCTGGGGCATCTGGTATTGGCCACTGTCAGCAGACAGGATACTGGGGTAGACCTTTAGTTTGATCCAGTATGGCTGTTCTTTTGGGGCTGGAGCGGGGGCTTGCATGTAACCGTGAATGTTAACTGATGAGCTGAGGTTCATTGGTTAACAGTTTACACATGTACACTATCACATCCCTACTTGTCACGTGCTAGTGGAATATCTCCTGCCCAGTAATATTTCTGCAAATTTACTTTGGCTGAAAACAATATTTAAAAGTATCTTAAATTTTACAGATTAAAATATTGATAGTGTAGCAATTGCATTTATTAGTTGTGCAACCTAAGTAAGAGACCAAGGAGAAATATTATACATATTTTTAAACTGTGTAATCTTGTTGTGGACAGAAAGAAATAAGGTTATGGGACTTGCAGTTCAAGTAGTACTTCTCCCTACATCAGCTGCTGCTCCACACAATGAAAGCACTTACTGCTTCTCCCGCTTCAGATTCCTCACCTAGTCAGTCCTCACTTTATTAAACAGTAGAATGAGAGTGCTGCTGAGGCAGCTCTATTTCTCCAAATGACACACAGGAGAGCTCTTTGTTTAGTGGACAGTGAAGAATTTCACTCATTATTTATTATTTGTATTAAAGTAGCACCTAGAGACCCAGACATAGTTGTTATAAGGGTTATTCAAACAATAAAAAGTGGTTCCCTTTCCTGAAGAGCTTCCTGTCTAAAGCAGGAAATTCAACAAACAAGAAGGGAAAGCACACAATAGCAGGTGAGATGACGGTAATCATTATGATCGTTAGTATCTGCATAAAATTTTTTGAAGGCGTCGTGATAAAGGAGTGTTTTAAAGAGAGATTTGAAAGGACAGTATGTGGCTTTACAGATTTTTACAAGGAGCTTTTTCTGTCAATATGGAACAGCATGGGAGAAGGTGCTTGCAAATGTGTTATATGTAGAGGAATTATATTCTGGTGGAAGTTTAAGGTACTCCTCAAGTAAAATTGATCTGTTTTTTTAAAAAAACAAGAAAGAAAGGAGGGGGGTAAGCAGGTTTTAATACTAGGTTGAAGAACAATAGCATTGTGAATTATTTCTTTAAAAAGAAATGCTACCATCTGAAAAATAAATTCCTGAATTTGGGGGTTGTATGTGTACTTGCCAGTGCTCTTGTTTAATTTTTAAAATGCTTAAATGGATTTGGCACTAGTCTCCCAAAGGTTTGTCAAACAAAAAGAAGACTCTTTTTTGCAGCATAGTTTGTGCAAATATAACAACATGGAGGATGAGAAGAGCTTGCTTACAGCTGCCAGTTCTTTCGTGTGTGTGTGTGTGTGTGTGTGTGTGTGTGTGTATATATATATATAAAATATTTGATATGCATATAATTTTAATTTTCTTTTTATCTCTTAAATACAGTTGAACTAAATGGCAGAATTCTAGCTTTTACCTTTCTAAATATGATCCGAAGTTAATATTTACATTAGAAAAGCCAGTTTTAAGAATTGTGTTCTGAGCATCAAATTGAGTTTTGTTCTTGTTTACTTTTAGATGCCTGTCTTAGATGTCAAGCTGAAAACAAACAAGAAGATTGTGTTGGTATGTAGTGATTTCATTCTCTTGTTTTTCAGCAAAGGCATTTTCTCAGTGGGAGGCTTTTTAAAGTTTAAAGCTCATATTAATTTTATTAATGCACAAAAATAAACTGCAGAGCATTACTAATGTAAAAGACACACTGTCATAGAAAAGTACTTGACCGAGCAAATCTGCAAGTAGTCATTTATATATATGTATGTGACTAGGAAGAACTAGTTACACAATTCAGGACATCTCATTGTAGGCTTTTGATTTAGATAGGAAATAGCTACTATCTCTTCTTCAAGATAGGTACTAGAAGATATTAGAGATGTAAGCAAGTAGTCAACTACCTGATAAGCCTAGGCTTATCGGGTAGTCGGGTCACTACTCATCTACTCGCTTCTCCCTTCTTTTGCTGCCTCTGTATCAGATCAGAAGCTGGTGCTAGGAGGAGTCATCTTAAAAGCCAGTTCCCCCCAGCACCATCTCCGTTGTGCGCAGTAGAGCAGGGAGGAGGAAGGAGCCAGGGGAGGCAGAACCGTAGCAGTCCTGGAGCTGGCGCAAGCCGGGACTGCTCAATCCCAGCTTGCACCGGCTCTGGGAGCTACCCCCACTGCAACTCTGCATGCCTGGCTCCTACTACATTTAAACTGCAGAGCTGCAGCGGGTATAGCTCTTGTACCTGGTGCACACCAGGAGAGAACATCTCCCCTTATCGACTAATCGTATAATTGATACAAATTGTATTGACTGCATGATTAGCCAATTATCCACTTCTTAACATCCTTAGAAGATATAACAGAAGAACTTAACTAAAACATGCAACTGTGGAATAAAATTTTGACTTGATTAGAATTTGCGAATATGCCCTTAAACCTTTAGTATATAATGAAAAATCAACACCGAAACTATACACTAGCTATACTTAATTAATCAACCAGTAAAAATAAGGCAGAATTTAGCCAGGCAGTGGATGTTTCCAAACCATTCACAGACTTCACTCATCCCTCAAAAATGTTCCTAGTATTATGTATTATTTATATCATGCACAGCAGTGTGCTAAGCATTCTACAGATGTGTAAGACTGATGACACAGACATAATCCTGTTGAACAGTGTTCCATTTATGGAAAATACTATCAAGCCAGTGACACCAATCTCAATTAGTAAATCATTCTAATGTAGTGTTGCCTCAAATATAATGATCTTGTATTATCTGAAAAATGAGTTAGATTGTCAGTACTCTTAATTATGAATGTAGTTTGTTCATCTGTATTAAGCAGCATAACTAGAACATATCAAGTGTTTTTCTTTTCTTTCAGTTGTCTGGGGAGAATGTAATCATTCCTTCCACAATTGCTGCATGTCCCTATGGGTGAAACAGAACAATCGCTGTCCCCTCTGTCAACAGGACTGGGTGGTCCAGAGAATAGGCAAATGAAAATGTCAGTTTTTCTGTTGAACGTGTTTGAAGAAGTATATGTCTAATGCCATATACCCATATGAAGAGAGGAACACTCTAACTATGGTGTGATTCATGCAATTTATATCTGTTAAAAGAATGTTATGGGTTTTGTTGCGGTTGAACACTGTAGTGTGTTGCTGTACCATTTTGATTGGTCTTATGTCAACATCTTTTCACAACTAAGGCACACTACCTTAGAGTGTAGTGTTCTGGGTATAAATTTTAGCAACTACTTAGAAATGATTTGCTGCAAAAAAGACCCAATTACAGTCTACCTTATATTTTTGGTAAGGAAATGTAAAAAACAATGCATTCAAAAAGAAGGCCTCATTCATAAAATTGATATGATGTATAACTGAGTCAAAACAATTTTTACCATGCGCAATACTACATCCACACCAAAGCACCATAAATAATTTTGCTTTACAGTGATGTTTGGACTCAAATAAATAGTATGTGAAACATTCATTTTATTGTGTGTTTTCTCTCGGTCCTCCTTTCCCCTACCTCCAGTATGGTAGAAATCTTATTTATGTTCTAGTGCAGACTTGTTTTTGTGATGACTTAAAAAAATCTGAATTTATAATTCATTGAATATTAACGGCCTTTTCTTTTATAATATGTATTTTGATTCTCCATCATGCAGAATAAACTGGTGCCACATTAGAATTTTTACTGTTATTTCTAGTAAAAGCAATATCTTTAATGCAGCATTGGACTATGTTTATAATCATATTTGAAATTAATTAGTTGGTGTAATGAAAATAATAGTTAGGGACTAGCGGACTCATGGATGGATTTCAGATAAAATGAGAACTATGTCTATAACTTATTTAAAAAATAATTGACAAAATAGATGTTACAAAAAAACACATGGTAATTAAATATAGCAAGAATTTATTGCAGCACATTTTTTCATCTTTTCAGTATAGGTAGGTCTATTTTGGAACATGTTTTGTATCTATTTGTTTCATCAGATTGGTAGATTTATATTTTCATGTAATAACAATTGTTGTTTTGCTTTTTGTGGCTTCATAATTTCATTTAGTTATTATTCGGTATGTACAACCCTGTTTTAATTTTTGTTTTTCTTGTATTTAACGACTTGCCTTGATAGTGTGTTGTTTGTTTGGTTATCTTTGCCCTTGCATGCCTACAAGAAACACATGGCCTATTAACAGTATTTTAGTGAGTTAAATATGTGGCAAGTTTGAAGAATTTGTGTTCTGATAAGGTTGTTCTAAACTACGTCTGATAGGCTGATTGGTTGGCAGGTCAGCTGACCATGGCCTCTTTGGCTATGATCAAATATTCCAGCAAGAATGCCCTTACACAGGGCGGTGACCTACCTATTTGATTGCATCATGCTGCCATCTGTTAGCAAGCCTATCTATACTGTATGTTAATACTACCTGCCAGGAAAAAGGTGGAGTCACTGGAAGTTGAGCATCTTGATTAGCTGCAATCTAGTAGGAAAACATTGTATATTCACAATGCTTTTGTATACTAGGCATAGTGAATGCCAGTGAAAATGATGTAGAATATGAGGCAAAAATAGGAAAAGAACAAGTTAAAAAATACAGACAAATTAGATGTCTTCAAGTCACTGGGGCCTGACGAAATGCATCGTAAAATACCCAAGGAGTTGACTGTGGAGATATCTGAGCCATTAGCAATTATCTTTGAAAAATCATGGAAGACAGGAGAGATTCCAGAAGACTGGAAAAGGGCAAATATAGTGCCTATCTATAAAAAGTGAAATGAGGACCACCTGGAGAATTACTGGCCAGTCAGCCAAACTTCTATATCTGGAAAGATAATGGAGCGGATAATTAAACAATGAATTGTCAAACATCTAGAACAAGGGTGGGCAATCATTTTTGAAGCAGTCGGGGTCTGCACTTTTCTATGGTGCAGTGTTTGGACCGGAGGTTGGGTGCAAAAGGGAGCTTGGGTTAGTGAATGAGGTGCAAGAGTTTGGGTGAATGAGGGTGTTGTGGCCTGGGGCAAGCGTATTGGGGTGCTGGGGTCCAGGAGGGGATATGAGTACAGGAGAGGATTCCAACCTGGGAGAGAAGTGTAGGAGGGGACTGTGGGAGAAGGGTGCAGAGGGTTTGAGTAGTGACTTGGGGCATGGGATTGGAGTTCAGGAGGGCATTGTGACAGTCCCCCAGATGTTTTATGAAAATTGGCTTATGAATATAAATATGCGTAGCTTGGAGATGCTTTGAACAAAATACTTCATGTAACCTATCAATTTTAATCATACGATCTGTATACCCTATTTTGTATCATTTGCATGTATCATTCTTGTATGTGAAGTTAGAAATATGAAGAATGAGCCTTTATAATTTAATGAAAACCATTATTGGTGCCTCACTGCCTCCCGCCCCCCCCTCCTCCCAACCTTAACTTGGTAATCAACTTAACAACTTGTAAATAGCTTTATTTGTCCATTAAGTCCAGAAGGTGGTTGGTCCTAAGAAAACATGTGACCATATCACCTGGTACTGGGATCAGTTTTTGAACCTATTAATTTTCCA